GGACCTATCAGTGTCGACACATGCTAATATGACTAGCTCTCTCAATACGCCGATGATCTTCTACAGTACTATCTTGACACTGTTCTCTCCGTGCTCGAGTCTTCGTCCGAAGCCCGAGCCTCTCTTTCCGACTCATATTCCACGTACCGCGCCCTACGACCACCCAAACCTACCTACATGAACTTTATTACGGAGAATTGCCCGTCGGATCCATGGTGGAAGTCGCGCCTTCGGCTTCTCCAGCTACTTGGGGGTGGTAACAGTACGCAGTTTACATCCACCCCTGCACCGGCCCTAAACTACTCAATCCCAGCTGTTCTCGCCCGCATTGAACGCTTTCAGAACGAACTCGTTTCAGAATCTATAATACTTGACGGACTGCAAGGCCGACACCGAGAGGCCCTGCGCCTCCTCACGCACGGGCTAGGCGACTATGACGCCGCCGCACGGTACTGTCTATTCGGCGGCCCCAGAAGCACGAGCTCAACCGGTGCCCCGTTAGAGTTTGCCGAGAAGTCACGTCAGACCGAGCTATTCCAGTATCTGCTCGATGAGTTTTTGCAGATCCGCGACCTGTCCGAGCGCATTGAACGCACAAGTGACCTCCTTGCGCGGTTTGCAGCTTGGTTCGATGTTCGTGAGGTACTCAAAACTATTCCAGACGATTGGAGCGTGGACATTCTCAACGGCTTCTTGGCACATGTCTTCCGCGTGCTCGTGTCCGAGTCGCGAGAGGTGCGAATCGAGCGCGCGCTCTCAGCCGGTCAGAACCTGCGCGTAACCGCAGACTACATCTCGAGCATGGAGAAAGTCGGCGGTTGGGTTGAAGATGACCAGGGTTTGAGGCAGTTGCGGGGGGGTCAGATCACCGGCGCGCGGGGAGAGACGGAGAGCGACTTCGGGGAGATGGTGGAGGCGGGAGTTGATACGTGATTCGTCTTGAGGATAGGATGGTGTGGGCTGTTGTATGTCCATTTTGTCCAGTTTTCGGATTTACGGAATTATCCTTGGGCATCATATGAGCATGACCTATAGAAATCGATCTGTACCTGTTTGCGAGAGCCGTGATCGGTAGATGTCTTTGCCGAGAATTGTGGGGGGTGGGGATGCGGAATGGTTCCTTCAGCTGCATAGGGAGAGCTATATAGACCAGAGAGATGATTGATATCTTCAGTCTCGGCATTTCATTCACGGTTTTCATCTTTCAAGCCCCTCTTTGCCTATGACCTATACACTAGAAGACCCTCGGCGACACCACTTGACCGACTCCTCCCACTATCAAGCCGAGTAACCCAAGCTCGGACCTGCAGAGCTCCGCGGGGGATTTCCGGATCTCCGCCCCTCGACCAATCACCGCAGCCCCGAAAAATCACTGCTTATTGAATCATTATCCATCCCCTCTATGCGGGGGATTTTCCTCTTTTCTAAAGTTTATATCTACTTCTTCTCGCTATCTAGACTCAATTGACCTCCCAATTCCCCCAAAGGCACACAACAAACCAAGCACAATGGACCCCTCACAAGTTAAGATCCCGCCCATGAAAGACCTAACGGTCGACAACATCACCGAGAATGTCATCCAGATCAATTCGTTATGCGACGACGAGCGCATGAAGTATGTCCTCGAGCGCCTTGTCACACATCTACATGACTTTGCCCGCGAGACGCGGCTCTCATCGCAGGAGTGGATGACCGGGTTGAAGTTCCTCACGGAGGTTGGGCAGATTTGTACGGACGTTCGACAGGCACGTGCTACCTTTTCCTTCTCTATAGAGTACAGCTAAGGATATGTGGCGCTAACATGATACAAATAAAGGAATACATCCTCCTCTCCGACGTCCTCGGCCTCTCAATCCTCGTCGACAGCATCGACCACCCCAAACCCTCCGGTAGCACGGAAGGAACCGTCCTAGGCCCCTTCCACACGCACGAAGCCGAAGAGCTGCCCGCAGGCGGCTCCATGTCCAAAGACCCCGCAGGCGAACCCCTCCTCGTCGTCTGCAACATCCGCGACACAGACGGTGCGCCCGTCGAGGGGGTCAAGATCGACATCTGGGAGACGGATTCATCGGGCCACTATGATGTGCAGCATGCGGACCGCGAGGGGCCCGATGGGCGATGTATCATGCGCTCAGATAAGGAGGGGATCTTTTGGTTCCAGGCGATTACCCCCGTGCCGTATCCGATTCCGCATGATGGGCCTGTTGGGCGGTTGTTGAAGAAGTTGGGGAGACATCCGTATCGCCCGAGTCATATGCATTTCATGTTTGAGAAGGAGGGGTTTGATCATTTGATTACGTGAGTTCAAGCCCTTTTTTCCAGTTTTGGCTTGATCTTGTCCTCTGCGGCTGTGCTAATGTGTGGAATAGAGCTCTCTACCTCCGCAACGACCCCTTCGAGACCTCCGACGCCGTCTTCGGCGTCAAGGACTCGCTCGTCGTGGACATCGGGCGCGCGGGGCCCGAATACGCCGCGAAGTACGGCGTGTCCGAGGACCACGCGCTGCTGACATACGACTTTATCCTCGTCTCAGACGTCGAAACGAGGGAACTGCGTGAGAAGAACTCCAAGGCGGCGCTGGACAAGCTCGGCCGGAAAGTGAAGATCGTGAACGGATTGCCGATTCCCGAGCTTGATTAGATCAGAGGTTTCCCGTCATTTTGTAGATACGTTTGGGATGTTTTGGTACATGAACTGGATGAAATGAAATACTGTATATTGGGTTATCAAGGAAGCTATAAGCTAGACAAGCTTGACGTACTCGTCCTGGATATGTAGTATGTGGCTCGGATCTTCCTTCGTACACCCTTGCACAGTAGTCAGCGTCTTGGCTATCTCATCTTATTTCCCCTCCTTGGGTTACGCCGTCAATGAATAAAACAGACCAATAGGGAAGGCGCGACCACGTACCTAAGGAACGCACCTTCCTAAAACAAAACAGGAAGGCACGGTGGGTCGCGCTTTCCTTCTGGTACACAGGGCCCGTGATATCGCTCCTTCCGTATTGGAAACTGACGAACAGCAGAGGAAGGAACGACCGGGGGGGTGCACCTTCCTAAAACAAACTAGGAAGGAACGACTCGCAGGTCATGGGTCGCTCCTTCCGTTTACAATCTGAACGAATATAGAGGGTGCGACCCAGAGACGTGCCTTCCTAACACAGACTTGGAAGGAGCTGAGGGGTCGCTCCTTCCTTTTCAAGGTGAACAATAGAGTGGTAGGTGAGGAAGGAGCAACCCACGTAGCTCCTTCCGTCTATGGAGGGATAGAATAGACAAGGAAGGTGCGACCATGGGTCAGGGATCAAAACCAGGACAGGAAGGGACGGATCCGTACTTGCCCGTAGGTTTAGTTGGGCCACAGCAGCTTGGTGGAGCGCCGTTGATAAAATAGCAGAAGAGGGATATACCCATTGGGGATGTGGTTACGGCCGAGCTTCAGTTGTTAGGGCTAAGCTTGGTACATGTTCGGAGTACCGAAGAGCTAGGTATATCAACCCAGGTAGATCCTAGACGGACAGAAAAGATGCACTATATACATGGCCAATCTACTCTGCATTACCTTTCTCTCCTCTCTCCATCTCCAACGCCTGCTTTACCAGATCCGTAACCGTCTCCCGAAACCCCCTATAGCTAAACCCCAACTCCCTCCCGGCACTCTCACCATCCAACCCATACGATTCATCGACACTCTGCTCCTCCCGCGAAACCCTTTCGCGTAACCCCTCAAACTCCTTCCGAATAATCGCCGCCGCAAGCCCATAGGAGAACCGCTCCGGTGCCGTCGGCGTATATCTCCTCCCACTGACCTCCTCTTTCAACAAGGCGCAAACATGCGCCTCCGCAAGATCCCTCACGTCGATCCAAAACGGCACGCGCGCAACGGGGATCGGGTTCTCCCCGCTCGCAACCTTCCAGAGCATCGCATTCGACTCGTTAAGCTCATTGACAGAAGCAACAGGGTGCACGACAGGTCCGAATGTCATGGGTGGACACAGCGCTACGAGATCGAACGCTGGTTCCTTCTCCTGGATGAACTCCCACGCGGCGACTTCAGCGAATTTCTTTGACCCGCGGTATGCGACAACTGCGTCTGTTGTTGGGGCCGCGGCTTCGGTGTAGGTGAGTGGGTTCCAGTCCTCGGCTGTGTAGGTAAAGTACGATTTTGCGTTCGCGTTACGGGATATGTCGATGACGGAGGCGAAGGATGATGTTAGGACGATTCGCTTGGTGGTTGGTGTTGTGGATGCGGCAGTGAGGACGGCCTTCACGCCGTTTATGGCTGGTATTATGAGTTCCGCCTCGTTGTTTGTTGTGTCATATGTGAATGGCTACAGATGGTCAGTTATCTGTATCAATGGGGATTTGTATACGGGGAACCTACACTCGCGGTATGAACAATTCCATTAACCCCCCTAACAGCCTCTCCAAGGCCACCAGGCCTCTCAAAATCATCAATCTGGACGAATTCGAGGCGGTCTCTATATTGCGGGCGGGCTTTGAGCATTGCGGCGCCTTTAGCGGGGGAGCGTGTTGCACCCCGCACTCGGAGGCCGCGGGCGAGTAGGGCGTCGACGATGTGTGCGCCGATAAACCCCGTTGCGCCAGTGACGAGGACAGTGTTGATCTCCATTTTCAGTGATTATTTTCTAAATTGGGAGTATTATCTTCCTTGCTGACGATGTTGGTTGTTGATGAAAGACGGGAGTGGTAGGCGTTGTTCGTTAATATATATGCGGAGAAACTGTCTGTCGGATGATCTCCGACACGGGAAAACTGTACTCTCATCGGGCAAAACGATTGAGGAATGTGAATTAGTTGATGGATACTTGGCTTCGGTCATACTTGCGACGAAGAATCTTGACTGGTCACTGTGTTGTTATGGTAAAAAGGGTTGTAATTCAACCAGAATAAAAGGTAGATAACCGGGAGTTGAGAATGATGGAACATTGAGCTACGTGCCTTATGAGATCTAGAATGAGAGCACGATTCCAACGGTTCGGTCCATTTGTCTAGTGGTTAGGACGTCAGGTTTTGATATACATTAACCTCTGAATTTCTGAAAGCCCCGGTTCGATCCCGGGATGGACCTTCTTTTTTTTTCTCCCAGTAATCTAGTAATTTTAGTTTACATGCACCAAAGGCAGGCTTACGACCCGTGGGCGGTTTCTGTGAGGTCGACCGGATCGCTGTCGGAGGGAGAAGCGGGGTCTGCAGGAGTGTAAAAATCGCTTCCAGAACCGTCAATATATCCCTAAGTATTGTGTCTATATGCTGGCCTACCGTTCTGACCCGACTCTGCTACCGCAGTCCTTCCTTCGCCTGTGAGCTGCGCTATCCAGCGACCCACCAACCGAGCTGGAGCTTGTCGTGGGGCGAGCACTTCGCGAGGACCACGAAAATGAGTCTTCCGCCCTTGGCGACGGCGAACGCGCTGGGGAAGGCCCTGAGGGAGTTAACATGATAGCACAGCGCTGCGGAGGCAGTGGACTCTAGAGGGTACACGAACAGGTAGCCAACGATTTCAGGCACTGTGCTAAGAAAAGGCCCAGGTATAGTTGAATTTATTATATGCTCCTCAAAGAGATCCCCATAGCAACCAAAGTAGACCGTCCAAGAGCGCACCCAGGCTTTGGTAAGACAAACCATGCAAGCCATGGTCTCATCGGGTATTGTGGCTTTTGTAAACAACATATGCTATCTAGTATCAAGTATTTAGCCCCTCTGAACCCGGAGCCCCAGTACCTAGATCCTAGTCTCCTATACGCGTTCGACAGTGTTTCCTGGGATAATAGTGGGGTTGATCCTTTCTGAGTTGATAGAGAATATGCTGCTTGGATGATCGATCTTAGACCGAAAATTAATGAGGCGAGGCTTGTCTGTGTAACAGGAGATGGTGAACAGATATGGAGAGCAAAAATGGATGCTGGGTGATCGACTAGTAGGGTCAGACATCAGGAAGGGAAGTGAGGTCAGTCAGCCTATTCACATTATGTACAGCACATACAGCACATACAGCATACAAGAACCAAGGTACAACTGAACTTATATCACGATACCAAATGCTCGGTAGGTATAACTAATATGCCGCCTAAATATACACAAAGAACACCAACTGCCCGGGATATCCGCTAAACCGCTCAAACAAGATGCTCACTACAGAACCAGATCTTCCAAACCAAGTCATTAAACAGATTGAGTAAAAGTATCATGCTTTCACCAGTTTCCGATCTTGCTCCTGCTCCCGTTCCCGCTCTCTTTCTCTCTCCCTGTCGCGTTCGCGCTCGCGCTCATTGCTAACCTCGTGGACACCTCCTTTGGCAGCTGTTGAGACGCGATGGTGATCTACCGTATCGAGGATAGCCTGCATCAGTCGCTGGCCTGCGTCAGGGGCGTCGTCATCCGGGGAGGAGTCCTCTTTCCGGTGGATGCTTATTCGTCGATCATGTCGGTCGAAGTTGTACCCATGACTACCTTGGTTCTCACTCATCGCTCGGCGCGGAGAGACGTCCCTGACAATTGGTGGCCGAGCTATGGGTGCGGCGATTGGCGCGGATTCTCTACGCATGTTGACATCCATCGGACCTATCGGGCCGTCATGCGGTCTGTCGTGCGGCCGCTCATGCGGTCTTTCATGGGGCCTCTCATACTGTCTCTCAAGAGGCCTCTCCTGCGGTCTCTCAAAAGGCCTCTCAAAAGGTCTCTCGAGTGGTCTATCGTGCTGCCGCTCGAAAGGTCTTTCGTAAGGCCTCTCGTGAGGTCTCTCAAGAGGTCTGTCATGCGATCGTTCGTGCGCCCTCTCATGCGTCCTCTCTAGTTCCGGAATCACAACCGCCGAGATTGGCGCTGAAGCTGGTGTCGCCGCAGGCAGAGGTCCTTGGTCTGAAGGTAGAGTGGTCGGTGTAGTGGAGGTATCTTTCGAGTGCGTATCTTCCGCAGTCTCCCGCTCGATGCGCTGAGATTCTCGCAGCTCGTCTTCCTTCACGTCCCGCCAAGAACACTTGGCGTGCTTCTTGGTACATCCCATGCACGCGGTAAGGTTCTTGAGGCAATCCATGTGCAGGCGGCGGCAACGATCACAAGGCGGCAAAATGCGATCACCTCGCTGTAGTTCCTCCATGCGAGCGACCATCTCAATCTTGAATGGGCCGCCGTCATCTTTTTCGTGGTGGTGCGACTTGGGAGGTGGAAGCAACGAGGTTGGAGTATTCGGTATGGCGACGGTTGCGGGACTGGGCGCGTACAAGTTAAAGTCACCACCACCCTCGGATACCCTAGGTCGAGGGCGGGAGGACTGGCGGTTACTCGAGCCTGAAGCTTCCTCGTAACCGCGGGTATGGCGATCTTGAGTGGTGAAGAACTTCTTCATGAGCTCCGCACGTGTGGTCGGAGAGGCGCCTTTGATAGATTGCCCATTTATTATCGTCACATTCTCTGTGCCCGACTGAGAGAATAGGAACGGTGCGGTTAGCGGGTTCTCTTCCGGATGGCCTTCAGCTCCGGACCGAGCAGCATTGACAGCGACAAACCCTGTGGAGGGAGAGTTGCCACCTAGCGTGCCATTACTGTTGAGGGGAGTGTGATTTGTACCATTGCCATCGCGCCAGACGGGACTCATAGAACGCTGTTGTACATGTGATTGGGGCTGCGAATGAGGGAGTGATGGCCGCGAGGCATGAAGGGTTACATCATTTTCTCGACGGGTAACAATCGCGGTTTTCCGGTTCTTCAACCGATGATTCAACTGCCGTGCGCGAGCAGAAACTAGACGGTAAACAGGTTAGATTTGACAAAAGCAACGGCGGGCGAAGTAATTAATCGGGGACGAACCTTGATCTGCCATTTGGATGATTTGCTGTAGGTTCTTCTCCAGAATTTCAAGTGCGCCCAGCTCTTTCTCCTCGTCTTCAATGATCGGTTGAGGGGGGATCATCTTCTGAGGCATCCCTGAGTGAATCAAGACAAAGTCCTCTTCGCTGATTTCCACGCGACATTGCTTTGTGTAAAATTGACAAACCGGAACACCATTCCGGGACTTTTCCAAGTTGAACTGCTCAGGCTTGCTCCGAGCAAACTCTACAACGTCAAGCCAGGTGACGTTGGGAGAATCCTTGCCATGCGACTTTAGAACTTTTGGCGGCCCGTCGAACAAACGCTCAAAGCGCTTTATTAGTATTGGGCCAAGAGGGCACGCGCCCAGATTCCCCGCGATACTCTCATGGCGGTGAAGTACCCCTTCATAATCGCCGATTAAACGGATTATCTCAGACATTGTATCGGATGTCGAGACCAGAGGGAGATTATCGGGGTATTGGCGGGCGAGGTAATTGATTTGCAGGTGATTCGAATGGGTCTTGGGAACTTTGGAGGCAATCGGTGGGAACTCCCCGGATTCTGACCGGGGCCGTTTGCTGGAGGCCTCTGTTGTCACTGTCCGAGATTCCATGGCGGCGGCTGTGGGCGGATACGAGAGCCTCGAATTCGCGATAGCTGGAAGGAGCCGGAGACGGTGGGCAAGTCGAAGAAAAAGTCCAAACCCAAGAAAGAGGAATGGGGGAGAGGTATGACGCCTCGGGACCGTGGGAAAGAGCGGCAAAGAGATTTAAGAAACGAGGGATTTGTGAAAAGTCGAGAGGTGGGCGTTATTGAGTAATGAGAACGCTGGCAGAGGAAGATGCTACCGATGGCGGAGCGTAAGGCTCCAGAATGCGGGTTTTGAGTCAGCCACAGAGCCGCGCGCTCTAGGAAGTCGTTTGTGGATGCTAGGAGACGCTGGGCTGGGTGTCATAGGAATGCGATGTTTCTGAACGAGCAAGCGAGAGGAGACATGGGAAAGGCGCAGGCGACATCAGAAAGGGTCGGCGAAGAGGCAGAGTCACAAAAGACCGCAGGGCCGGTGGAAGAGCGAGAGGCAGGAAAGGCGGACGGGGGACACGGCCGGGAGGCCAGCGCGGCAGCGCCAGTGGGTTAGTACCGTATGGTATGGTATCGGTACATCCGTTTGATTCTCCGAGTCTACTACATTTGTTCATTGATGTCCTATCGCAATCCTACGTAGCTATCGATGGGATTAAGTCAGGAAGGGCGCTGGGGTCCCGGCGCACTGTCGCACAGGTTACACGTTGCTATATGCCAGTTCCGTCCGGCCCCCAGGATGTCACAAGAACTTGAAGGTGGGAGAGTGGAAGGGCTGCCCAATGGCAGATATGGTGGTCATGGGATGACGATGGCTCTGGCGGAACGGGCGCTCCTCCCCTCTCGTGTGGCGAGGACCAGGAACTGACCGAGCAGAGTAGCCTGGTTTCAGTGGATCCAGATTCCAGACCGACAGGACGTTGGGGGGTTGCGTCCAGGCCGGGGCTGCCCTCGCGCACCCGTCTTATCCATGCGCACATTCCGAAATAAGGCATCATCGAAATCGATTGGAAACCGCCCCAACGTCCCAAACAATTCCGTTTGCTCCAGGTCTGATCTTGGTGGTGATCCTGACTGTTCTCATTATGACTAAGCATCACGGCGGAGAGATTCCCGCCGGCCGCTTCCGCTGACAATGTCCGGGATTCGGTTCGAATCTTTACCCGTACTGACAGTACGGCGTAAGATTAATCTTCGAAGCTGAGCGCGGTCCCTTGCAGACTCACCTCTCAAACGCGGCACACTGCTGGGATAACAAACTGGGCGCAATACTTACTGTGACTGCGAGAATGCTCCTGTCATGTTATCTGACAGCTATTGATCCTTGAAACTCGTCGCCTGACTTGTACCCGAAAGTTACCCCAACAAACGTGTCCACGTGATCGATTCTCACCTATGTCCATATCGAGGACAAAAGCAGTCGCCAAGACGCTCGATGGAGTCAATATGCTTGTGTTCACCTTCTGGGAAGCATTTACAGCTTGCATTATCAAACAATTTTGCAAATCTTGGGCAGCTCCTGCAAAGGAGAGGAGAGTATCACCAAATATTGGTGCCTAAGTCATCCACCAAGTCCACAGCTGTCAGGTATTGTCACTGCGGCCCGTGTGACAGTACTATCAGCATCAGCAAAGTTTTCCTCTAAACCCGTGACTTCACACCTCCCACCACAGAGTA